GAAGGGAAACTACTCGAGTAAAACTATAACTGCTCCCAAAAATACCATATAATAACGTATTAAATATTAGTAGCGTGCATTAACAAAACCACGAGGTCCAGATAAACTGGCAGGCAAAAAATAGCGCCAACACGAAGGGAATAACAAACTCTCCCAGATAAAAGAACTGCAGCAAAATTACCTGCTGCTCGCCAACCGGTGGAACTACTGCTCCCGGCGCTTGCTGTTCAGGGTTTTGAACCCCATCTCCTGCTGCCGCTCCTTGCGCCACGTGAACTCTCAGTACAAATTATATCTTTGAAATTTTCTTTGCACCGGCAAAACGAAACAAATGGAATACAACAAACCTAAAGTTTGTCCCACAATACCTGCCGTCAGCATAAGCGCCTCAAGTCCCGTCTGTGTTTCATCAGCATGCATAGAGCACTAGAATGTTGGCTTATGGCTGGTGGCGGTGGTGGGGACAGCGAGAAAAATTTGTGCTTCGAAGGTCCAAACGACGTTATGCAATGAGTCATGTGTGTTGACTTAATTTATACTGCTTGGTGATAATTTATTCAGTGAGAATAGTATAGGTGGGCGTATTGTTTACATTTCCAAAAATCAACTTTTGAGCCATAAAGGATTGGACTTATAAAGAAGACATAACTGTTAATAGTATTTATCAATTTGAGAGCAGTTGTTTCATTAGTTCAGGAGATATAATAAATTAAAGTTGCTAAATTTTGCAGTAAATGTAGGTTGGTTGGCAACATCTTGCCAACCAACATACATTTTGTACTGTCAAATTTCACAACGTTAACTTGAAAACCATCAAGAGATTTGTCCTCAAATTCTCAGATATCTTCCAAAGTGATAGAATCTTGCCACTTTTGACGTTTGTTTGTTTATTGCTTGAATTTCCAAGAATTTCATGTTCTTGATCAAAACAAATGACGCAATCGTACGCCCACCTATTTGTGGTCTTGTGAACAGCGTTTGTCAAGACACTGTACGCAATGGGCGCTATTTGTTACAGTTGATCAGCTAGATTAGCTACCAGCTATTCTATGTAGTTTTTACCTTTTAATGTCTCTAGTATTGATATACATAAAGTATTTCCTCGCTTTTAATTTTTTTGTATAAGGTGATAAAACTGTCACTGTATTGTATTGTAAGTGTACCTAGATATAGATAACTTTCAGTCGTATGCCCGCGTAGAACATGACCAGATATATTCGAATGTGTTTTGCGATTTAAGTCAAATCAATAACCGTTGGTAACGCACTCTCTAGTAAACAGTCAAAAGACTTTTGATAGCCTGCAGTTCAGGCGTTCTTGTGACTGGGTTTGAGGAAGAATCGGGTTTTTGGGGTTCCTGTTTCGACTACGTGCCCAAAAAAGGGGAATGTGCCACAATAGCTGCACAAATGTTTTCTGGTAAACTTTCCCCGTGTACGAAGTCCCCTATGAATCTCAATGGGAATGAATATAGTCATAGGCAATACATATAGTTTTAGACAAAGGACAAGGTATGCCAAGGGAATGAATATAGTCATAGACAAAGGACAAGGTACACAGGGAATGGATATAGTCATGCACAAAGGACAAGATACACAGGGAATGGATATATTCATAGACAAAGGACAAGGTACCCAGGTAATGGATATAGTCATAGACAAAGGACAAGGTACACCGGCAGGCAATGGACATTATGTAATGACAGGTAATGGATATACCCATAAGCAAAACACAAGGTACACAATATATAAAGAGAAAATACCTAGAATCGGACCCTAGTGGAGTAAAAGCTCTGGTCAGTAAGCTGTTTCCAGGCAACATTTTGCATAAGGGATTTTTTTGATTGCCTGCTTAACTCAGGTATACTTCTGCCTTATGAGCAAAAAGGAATTAGGTAGTCACTCTTTCTAAAAAGATATTGTCAAATTGTTGATAATATGCATTTAAAAAAATATAAAGTTGGATACGATTGGGTTCGAATCCACCGAAAGAACTTCAAGAAAAAATGGATTCCACTATGTCATACCCACCAGACATCGGCAGATAGAAAGCTTCATACTTTGGACCTGACTGCAACTAAAGCCTTCTGCCCTTGGGTGTACGAAATACGAAAGATAATGTTCAAAAGCTTCATCGGAGATACCAGCCGGACTAGAAGTAGTCATTTATGGCTTAATAATCCGAATTCATCTTCTTTTTAATGTTCCGCTACTTAGTTCATTGATACCAATAATAGTATGCGTAAATATTCATTAATTCCTAGGGGAAAATGTAATTCCATTGACACTTGAAGGATTATGCCTTTTTTGACTTTTGACACTTTTGATTTTAAAGTCTATGTACTCTCATATAAACACGAGGGGAGGTGACTAGAAAGCTCAAGAGAGAAGCAAGCTTTAGGAACACTAGGCGTTGCCGAGTATTTCTTTTGCCATTCGAGCGAGTGCTCTACAGCTCCCAGAGTCTTTGTGTCACAGTACACAGGCATAAGCAGCCGTTTGATATTGCTTTTATAAAATATTTTTTAACGACTTTCCGCGAGCGTCTGTCTGTCTTTTGATATAAACACGGTAGCCAACTAATCCGTCAGCGGGCGCGTTAGATCTCAAGAATATTTTACTATACAATATACAAGAAACATTCAGAGATGTTTGAATTTAGATACAAAATCTTATGTTACTATGATCTTGATGCAAGTATTTCAAGAAGAGTTCTAGGTCCTAAACTTAAACTGCATGCACTCTTTTCTTTTATTTTTTTTCAAGAGCAGATAACATGAGCAACTGCTACACTAATAACCTGTAGAACAAAATGGCAAATGTCTTAAAATATCCGTTAGAAAAGTTTAAATTGCAATATACATAAGAAGCCTTCAAACGAGAAATAAGCGTAAAACTATCTGCACAAAGCGTGGTTTAAATGGCAATACCATTGCACGGATATATACTGTTTGTACTGTAATCTTCAACAAGAGATTACAATCTCGTGCTCTCAGTTTGTGTTTTTCCATGAGCTTGCAAACCTTGCGGTTTTGGATTTCTCGCCTTTTCCTTGGATCCAGAAATCAAGGCCTCGTACAAGATCTTTACTCGTCTTGTGAAAGTAAAGCACACGGCAATGTACACCCCTTGAATGGTATTCAGTGCAACAAACGGGTACAGAAAATAAGGAGACACAAATGAGGCTAAAAAGCCAAAGATCCACGTGAACCCCATCAGCAYTGCAATCTTGACATACACTGGATTGTAGTCGCGCTGCTCCTTGACCATTCTTGTTTGCTGTGCCACTTTACGAAGAGCTTTCACTGTCAAACCAAAGAACACGGCATTCCACACAACTGACACTGCTATTGGTAGAACAAAGATGAAGACGTTGGCACGACCATTGTTGATCCAGCATCCCTTGGGACCACCGTACCTAATCTCAACGGCTCCTGATTGGTCTAGGATGAGACAAATGAGAACCAATACGAAAACCGGGAGCCATCCAACTGCAAGAGTGCGACGTATCTTTCTTTTTCTGCTTTCGTTTTCAGATGATTTATTAGCATTTCGCATWGAAGAGAATATTTTCCATGTGCTGAAAGCTATAATAGACATCCAAGCAAACGAAGCAAGAAATGAATAATGAAGGATTACTGCAATGGCAACGCATGCTCCATGAGAACCTGTCTGGCCTGATCCAATCAGCCACACGAAATGGGCCACCAGTAAGGCTGACGATAAATTCATCAGGTTTATACCAGGTAATGTCCTGAGTTCTCCAAACAACAGATACGTCACCAGTACAAACACAAGACAAACAACAGACAAGGACAGACCAATGGATGTCAGTATATGTAGGGCTGTGTCATTCTGTGACTCGTCAGTTGATCGTGCTTTAATGTAATTATTCGAGTACTTAGTACACACAACCATGCTTCTATTGATGATGCTGTATTCACCTTGGTTGTAGATTGTATTCGCGACATTTCTGTAGACCGAGTTGTTTGGTAACATGACATACTCGTCTTTGTCTAGACTGATGTACGTACGTACCATTGCATGTTAAAGTACTTGGAAGATGTTGCCTACAAACTGCAATTGAACCCACGGGAATATGGTGTTTGTTGTGTTTTTTGGTGGAGTTGGCAAAGTACTGCTTTTCTGTCAGTAGTTCTTGGTCTGGTTGATGTAGATGTTGCTTGAACCGTGTACAACAACATAATCTTCAGGTGTAAAGTACTGCACATCAACACAAGTCAAGAGTATTGATGTTGCTTTAATGATGATGACACTATCATTTTGGAAGACAAACCTCACTGATTTAGTGAAATTCAAAATAGATTCGATGGTAATTTGTTCATTGTCACGTCTTGCTCGAACGGGTCTTAATC